CATTTTTATTTAGTTATAGTTATTTTATTTGCTCATGACAAAATACCTTGATCGTCCCTATTAGAGGTTCAGCTTTGACTTCCATTATATCGCTACCGCGATATCATTTTAATGAATCAATCAGATGGATTTAATCTGATAATGCAATGCCTATTGAGGTAGTGAGAGGAATAGTGCGTGGTAGTCAAATCTGAACCTGTCTATTAAACATATGCCAGGTGGTTGAAATATATCTGTTATGTCGGTGTATTATAGAGAAACGCAACATTAAGACCGCATTAAGCCCGTTCTCCACTAGGCGAATTTGTTCGCGCGAACATTTTAACTAGAGTGCATGTATTTGACGTTACTTTCATTATATTTGTATATACCTACATTAGTTTGTAGTTTGATAAGTTAATTTGTAAATAATTAATAAAACGGCCCCTTGAAAAGCAGCCTCGGCTGAAGGGTTACCGTAAGTTGTTAAATAACTTTATAATAATAATAATAATAATAATAATAATAATAATAATAATAACAGTAAGAAGTAGGAACTGATCCAACTTTCTCGCGGCGAATAGGTAGTCCAAGAACCAAAAAAGTGGTATACGGGTACCAATTTTATCCGTGCCGTACGAAAAATTGAGCGTAGTGTAAACGGGGCAGTCGGGACTTCACTACTTCAGTCTATCTAAACGCACGGAAATTCAGTCATATGGGTGAAAAATACGAACCCTCGTCCTATTACATACGACATCATACCACAATTTTTTATAACCAAGAACAATTTGCTTTCCGTAGATGCCCCTCTCCCCCCACTGACAAATTCCTAAAAAAGCCTTAATTGGCACAGTGGAAAACCACAATCCTGGTCATATCAAAACCATCTGCGACACTATTAAAACATTCCTCCGCGGCTATTTTTACTACTAGACAGGAATAATTTACTCGTTTGCCCCTCCACCCCCCCCCCAAAAAAAAAAGTCCACGTTTTATCCATATTCTGCATGGGAATGCAATCAACATTGAATGGTGGGGTAAGGGGGAGGTTTTTCTAAATTTGCGATAATATTACGAAATTTTGTCAAATAATTGGAAGAGTGGCAGATGTTTTGTCAAGGATTGCAGCTTACTGTAACACTGTGTAACTCGTCTTGTTATAGCAAAGTGGATCAAGAATTTCGATAACATGCATGTAATCTAGTAATCATGATATTTTCTGTGTTGGTGTAATGTACTCAGGTGAATAAGATGCTTGTGATGTTACTCTTGAGTGTATATCCACACCGGCCAGGCTTGAAAAATATGCCTAGCCACGGTGGGAATCGAACCTACGACCTTTGGAATACCAGCCCAATGTTCTGCCAACTGAGCTACGCGGTCAGGTCGGTTCGAGTATGTGATATTTCGGAACTGAGTCTAGTTCCTTCGATATCAATGTAATCTAGTAATCATGATATTTTCTGTGTTGGTGTAATGTACTCAGGTGAATAAGATGCTTGTGATGTTACTCTTGAGTGTATATCCACACCGGGCAGGCTTGAAAAATATGCCTAGCCACGGTGGGAATCGAACCTACGACCTTTGGAATACCAGCCCAATGTTCTGCCAACTGAGCTACGCGGTCAGGTCGGTTCGAGTATGTGATATTTCGGAACTGAGTCTAGTTCCTTCGATATCAATGTAACCTAGTAATCATGATATTTTCTGTGTTGGTGTAATGTACTCAGGTGAATAAGATGCTTGTGATGTTACTCTGAGTATATATCCACACCGGGCAGGCTTGAAAAATATGCCTAGCCACGGTGGGAATCGAACCTACGACCTTTGGAATACCAGCCCAATGCTCTGCCAACTGAGCTACGCGGTCAGGTCGGTTCGAGTATGTGATATTTCGGAACTGAGTCTAGTTCCTTCGATATCAATGTAATCTAGTAATCATGATATTTTCTGTGTTGGTGTAATGTACTCAGGTGAATAAGATGTTTGTGATGTTACTCTGAGTGTATATCCACACCGGGCAGGCTTGAAAAATATGCCTAGCCACGGTGGGAATCGAACCTACGACTTTTGGAATACCAGCAACAACATCAAATTTCTGTTTGATTTTCTTTCATGTTGTTTGTAATGAATATAAGAAGACTTTATTAGGGAAAAACAACCCTTCAAGACTAAGAAAACATGTGTACATATTAGATTAATTTGCCTGATTAGATTTATTATTTCATTGCCTCTCTTGCTGTGTTTGGGTTAATAATCTCACGATCTATTAAGTCCTATTTTCCAATCCCCACATGCCTGAAATAAACAAGCTCTCGTAGGCCTAACTTAATAAAGAATTGACGGTAGCCCTGTTTGTATATGCAATTTATCATTCACAGCAATAAAACGTTTATTTAGAATATCGTCGATATTCGATGCACGACATTCGACATCCAGTTTCGTGTTCCCAGTATCAACTTAGCCAATGTTACACTTATACAATTTCATAATATTCAGAAATTTTCGGGGCGAACAATGGCGAATACAGGCCTATGAAACAGTCTAATGCATGTAATACTGATCTTATCTATTATATACCGGTTATGTTAACCAATCTGCATAATAGCGCGCGTTCTCGCTCAGTCTCTTGTAAGGAAAACGTCTTGTCTTTCCTGTTTTGCCTGTCTGGTTTCCAACCACTTCATACAAATATTGTATACTTTGGTTTGTTCAGTTTCTCTTGCCATATTTGCAATGGTTTTCACATCGCCAACTCTATCACTTGCCACAGCTATCAAATAGGCAGTTTTTAGTCGACGAAAACGTATGTAAGCAGCAACCTATAACGAAAATGAAGATTTATGTTAGTTTTTCTAAAAATGTCAAAGGATAAAAACAAAGGCGTAGTAAATCTTAATTGGGGAGATGTGAAAACTAGTACGACTATATATAGGACACGTTCTCCACATTAGAACACGCATAGGGTGCTGTAAAACACTGCATGCAAACAGGTGGGAAATTTGTCGTCGCTGACCAAAAAAATCGCGGGCAGAAACAAAGCTCATTGCATTTACATTCAAAACAAAGCAGAAAGTTTTCAAGAAGGGAGTAAATACCGTACACGTCGATCTGTGGCTTGTTTAAAACCGTAATAAACGAAGAAAGACGAGATATGAGAATGAAATGCAAGTTGAAATTAACTTTATATGTCTCACATTTTCCATCCTATGTTTCTTAATGTAACTTCAGCTGTCTAAGTTCAAAATACAAGCTCGCGAAATTTGACAAATTTTGAAAATATGTAAAAATAGCTTGACTTTGAACTGTATTTTCTCAAAAATAGCCCGTGGCCTCAATTTCAAATATAGCTAAATGAAAAGAAAAAACTTTTCGGCGTTTGTAGGTATCAAACATATCGTCAGGAAAATAGGGGCTCACAATGTTTTAGTTCAGTCTTTGAGACCCAGTTGCTTCGCACGTGTTGTGGTCAAATTTTTGCCAAGAATCAAAGGCCGAAATGTGAACTTCCTTCATGAAAACCGCTTCGAGAAGGGTCTAGTTTGAAAATTTAGCTATTAATTTCGATTTCATGAGCATATTTTGGTTACACGTTAAATATTTTTGTACTTGATGAGATTCAAAATTTGTTGTATATTCAAGCCCGGCTTTAGTGTAATTTTGGTGATGACCGGAACAGAAATAAAGATATTTTAAAAACTGGCCGTGGCCTCACGATAAAACTTTCTAAAAATGTTCTCTGTTTCATGTATTTTTATTTGATATCTTAGGTATAAGCGTAAAAATAGGGGCTCATACAGTTTACGAGGTTGTAAAATGCACGACTTGCCTCTATTTTCATGTAAACATTCGAAATTTTTCGACAGCAAAGTAGCAACTGTTTCAGATCGAATACACACGGACAGCCCACCAGAGACAATGGCAGGGTACTGAAATAGAACGTCACTAAACAATTCTGTATGATTAATTTAGATTATGTCCATTTTCAACATAAAACAGTCATTTATTTTGTACAAACATTTGGCAATATTTACACGACTGTGCCTTTTTGTAAACACGCGTTGCGTGTATTCCACGCAATTGCGTGGCTTATTTTGCTCGCGCATGCTCAGACAAATTTCCCACCTGTTCTGCATGCACATATGTTTATCTGTGCGTTTAAACACCCGTGTTTCACGTACAGCGCCCTGATACACCGTTCCGTAAAGTACGTCACTTTGGCTATAAAGCCCAATCTCGTTCCCCGAGCATGTCCATTCGCAGGTTAAGGGTGGGCATAGCTCTGCAGAAATCCAATTGATTCACATTGGATTTCCAACGTGAGTTGTGCGCATGCTCGGCAATTGTTGCAAAATAGAAACAAAGTTTTAGAATTTCTCGTCGAAAATTTGATACTTTTTACACTGAAATCGATTGAAAACACCTAAAAATTCTGGGCGAAATATGTACGAAAGCTTGGGATTGATACGGATACAACTACCTGAAAAATACAAGGAGAACTTCGACGTTTCGAGCTAAGGCGCTTCGAGTTGTACTGTTAGTGTTTGTACTAGAGGTGTGCATCGGATCGGATTGGACGTTTATAATCCGACAATTGCCTAATGTTTAAAATCCGATCCGAAATTGTCTAATCCGAATCCAATCCGAGTATTGAAAAAGAATTCCAATCCGATCCGATCCGAAGAATTTTTTAATAAAATAAATTTCTCATTCAAGTTGAAATGTTTAACCAAATAAATATAAAAGCAAGAAATATATGTCAAGAAGCTGACAAAGTGACGTCCAATTGAAGTATCAAACGAATAATGCAGCGACAACCGCGATGATGCTTTGATAAATGCATGGATAATTAATTCTTGCGACAATGCGTGGATAATTAATTCATTTTATTTCGGATATCGAAGTCCGATCCGATCCGACTACGAAACAACTTTATCAATCCGATCCGATATGAATATTTTGGTTCTGAAATCCGATCGGATCTGATTCGGATCGGTTTCGGATCGGATTTGCACACCTCTAGTTTGTATACATCGTATTTGACCTTTTAAACTGCCGGTATTCATGATAAATATAATCTCCTCAAGAATGAGAGAATGTTTGCTGTCAAGTGTGGATCTAACACTACGCACTGTATACCATAAATTCTGACAGGAAAGTAAAATTTAAATTTTAAAGCACATATATAGTGTATGAGAGCAACGTCAATAATCCAATGTCAAGGAAGTTTAAACGTTTAGTCCGGTTTTTAAGACATCAACCGCAGGCCCACACTTCACAGCAAACGTCCACTCATTCTTGACGATGTATCAAAACATTAACAGTACAAGTCGAAGCGCCTTCGCTCGAAACGTCGAAGTTTTCCTTGTATTTTTCAGGTAGTTGTATCCCTATCAATCCGAAGCTTTCGTACATATTTCCCCCAGAATTTTTAGTTGTTTTCAGTGTAAAAAGTATCAAATTTTCAACGAGAAATTCTCACGTTGGAAATCCAAAGTATACTACCTGCAGCTAGCCAATCACCGGTGACGCGGCCTGAATCAATTCGATTTCTCCAGAGCTATGCCTACCCTTAACCTGCGAACGGGCATGCTCGGGAAACGAGTTTATAATTGAGACATTAGGCTTTAACTAATGATATACATACACGAAAACGAAGCTTTATAGGCAAAATGACGTACTTTCTGGAAGGGTAGATTGCAGAAATTTTTACCAAAATAACAATGCAAAGGAAATACTAGAAGCCCGCCATCAATAGTGATCAAGTCCTAAATTTAGAAGGGAAATATCCAGAAAATGTTCATCTACTTTGTGTAAACGGCGTTAAAACCTTATTAAGTTCTAGCAAATATACGTTAGTAAGGTCGTTACTTAACTTACTTTGTCCCTTAGTAATTGTCTCTGCTTTAAATTTTAATACAATAGACCCCCAATTAATTTACATTTAACAAATATAAAACATTTTCCGTGTTGATATACAGTTATATCAACACGAGTGGAATTGGGAAAACGAGAAAATTTCATACAATTTCGAGTTTTCCCAACTTCCACGAGTGTTGATATAACTATATATCAATACGGAAAAAATGTTTTATATTTTTTTTATAATATAGCAATGTCAAAAGCTCGAAAGATAAGAAAAAATTCTGTGTTTACAAGCGGCGGAAAATTTCCCGTGTTGACATTGAGTTATATCAACACGGCTCTTAGCCAATCAGCGTTAAGAATTTACAAACGCAATATTATAATTCCCAATCAGGGATGTTATTAGCCTAGTCCCAGGCACTCTCTCTTCGCTATTCAATACTATTTTGTCCCTGGGACAAATTTGTCTCCCTTGACTCAATCAAGTAGCTACACATTCATAGAATTTGAACTAAACATAATAAGTTAGCTTCATACATGCAGCAATTGTTATAGTGGGGCGGAAAAGCACACAATTTTGCAATAATTGTGCAGTTATAGTGAAGAAAGCACCATATAGGCAATTCCAACTTTTAGTTTATGCGCGCAGGGGATGATGGGAAGTAAGGTAACATATTGCTGATTAGGCTGAAAAAATAAAAATGGTGTCCGTGTAAACCCGGAGTGATAGCTTATACTTGTAAGTATTGAAATATTTCTGTTGTTTCGGCAGTTTTTATTAAAATATTTCAGCATAATCAGCAATATGATACCTTACTTCCCATCATCCCCTGCCCGCAGAAGCTAAAAGCTGGAATTGCCTATTGACACTATGTATGTATAGACTTCGAGACAATCATGAACATCTGGAAGATATGGAAGATATGGAAGCATGCATCTGTGAAATTAACGCTGATAGCTAAAAATTTGGAATTTCTGATATTTGAATATAAATTTCTATTACTGATAGAATTTTTAAAATTCCAAGGTAGCTCACAGAAAAAATAAGTTGTATGGCTAAAAAGTACACAAAAAAACTGTCTATAGAATATTAAAGCAGTTTTTCTATTTGCCAAGTCGTTTTGAAATTAATCAGTTTCGAAATCGCACAAAATAGTTAAAAAAAAATAGGTGCAAAGTCTGGCACTAGCTTCAAATCGCCTTTTTACAGGTTGCAGCTCAGGAAATATTTGGAAAATAAATAACTGCTTTAGTGTTCTATAGACAGTTTTTTGCGTACGTTTCAACCATACAATTTATTTTTTCTGTGAGTTACCTTGGAGTTTTAAAATTTCCATCAGTAATAGAAATTTATTAATAAAATGTCAGAAATTCCAAATTTTTGGCTATTATATAGCGTTAATTTCATAGATGCCTCTATATCTGATATTCATACTTGTGTCAAAGTCTACACATCCTGTCAATATGGTGCTTTCTTTCACTTATCCACCCCACTATTACGGATGTTTTACATTTACCTTCTTTCCTTCATCTTTTAAAGATTTTATAAGCGCTTCAGCTTGCCTCCACTATGGAAAAAATCAAGTTATCATCAAGGATGTAAATATGTCAACCTTGTGCAATCGGAAATAGATTTTAAGTTGATCACACCTGTGGGATGCGGTTACAAAATGCATCTGTTTAAAGGAAGTGTCTGCTTATTAGGGATTAATAAGAGGCGCCCGTTTATAGGGGTTCAACTGTTTTTTTCATTTTTTTTTCATCTGCTTCTGCTTTTTTTTCAGTGCTGTCAGAAAATATTCAGTCTTTTAAAGTTTGTATCATGCCAATTTGGTCATAGATTCAGTTCGTTTACACATCAAACAAAATATTTTGAAAACAAAGACAGACGTTGAAAAAATATAAAATAAGAGTAGATGACTAGATCAACTAAAGTCCATTGCGAACGTCCTTTAAATTGGTTTCCCACTTCGATCGTATCGAAAGGTAAGAGACATTTTTGTTTCCAGAGCACATGAGGTGGAGCTCACAACGTCGACATACACAATATATACTCGATCTAGTTGTATTTGTATAGATCTATGACAAATCACTTCCTCCCATTTTCGGGCATGAATGACCCAGGCCAGTTCTGACATGGATAGCTCATAACTTCCAAAATAACTTTCGTGTTCTTTCTGGGTCAGTAAAGATTCTCGCACAAGAAAAAGTGCCTCCTTTCCCCCACAGTAATCGGAAAAAAAATCTAACTAGGAAAATCAATTAGGCATAATTCAAGATCAGTAAACTCAATGTTTTTAACAATAAAAATGTTTTAAAATGTTAAAAACATTAAGGTTGTTGATCTTGAATTATGCTTAATTGATTTTCCTGGTTAGCTTTTTTTTCAATTGTATTGCATTGTATTGAAATGCGCCTTAAAAACCATCATTCAAAAGGCTGAACTGTGCATTTAAGGTGAAAAACAGCGTAAAGCTTTTTCAAAGATATTGATCAAGTACTTCCAAGCCCATAATTACCAAAAATGTTTTTGGTAAAGCTAACACAAGACCAAGTCCCACCACTCACTGCACGCATTGTTAAAGAAACATTCACACACATTCATATGGACCGGCCTTCATAAAGCGACGTACCTTTTTATCATCATCAGTTAACATTCCAAGCAAACTAAGGACAACAGCGTCATGGTCTTTATCATTCATTAATCTTGTTTGAATTGCATTCGATAATAACACTTGAATCTCGTTAAATTTCTGTTCACTTACTAATCTTTCTGCAACCGTCTTGTACACATTTAAGGCAGGCAGTCGAAAATCCTACAAATAATACCATGGTAAATTGTGTGCACAAGCAATACAAGCTAATAAATATATCGTTTTTTAGCGGGAAGAAAGCAAAAGTCTTATACCTGCATTATTCGACAGGACAAACTGAAACCATCGTCCACCGTACTCCCTGCTAGTAATACCTAAAACAAAACACGGAATATATTAGTCGTTGATTCCAGGTTGAAACATAGTCAGCCAACACGGATTGTCGTGGTCTGTTTCTAGGCTCCCAGTTTCTTCCACGCGGGAGAGCGAAGGCTTACGCTCGAAACGTCGAGATTCTGCTTGTTTATTTCAGGTAGTAATATAACCACTCAGCACAGAAAAATCTTTATAACGACCTAAAGTCCCCGTAACTTTGGGCGACTTAAAGCCCATTTACACTGAAAATGCAAAAAAAAATTGTCCGACGGATTGGGCGCTTTCCATTTCAACAAAAAGCCCAGTTTGCGTTTCTGGAGTGTCCAGTGGCAAAATGGAACGCTACAGCGTGCAGGCCTTGTAAATAATGAGAGGTTTGTTGGGTGCTTTCCATTTGACGGAAATTCCGGAAATCTTGCTTGAAAATCAAGTGGAACACGTTGAAAATTTCGGACAATCTCTCGAGGTTGTCCACAAATTGGAAATTCCGGAAGTTTCAAAACATTTCCCAACCACGTTGCTGCTTTGACACTGACATTTGACTTTGACATTTGACACTGCCGCTCAAATCGCTGAAAAATTTAACACTGCCGCTTTCAGAATTCGGCGAAATAAATCCAGACTCAAGGCACTGAAATAATCGAGAACCCGCCATTTTTGTTTTGGTGGCGGTTTTTGCTCATCAAAGACTGGAAAGCAGCGACGTGGTTGGGAAATGTTTTAATGGAGTGTGAAAATTTCGAAACTTCTGGAATTTCCAATTTGTGGACAACCTCGAGAGATTGTCAGAAATTTTCGAAACATCCATTCAATTTGATTTTCAAGCAAGATTTCCGAAATTTCCGTCAAATGGAAAGAGCCCAAATGTCGGCCAATCACATTTTACAAAATTTTCTTTCTGCAGAACATTTTCCTAAGTGGAAATGGGTCTTAATTAAAGGCATTTAACTTTGGGAAGTGTTGCGAAAACCTCAAGGTGATTTTAGGTTCCAGAGTAGGCCTATTTAATAGTTACAGTAAACCCCCACTATTTCGAACTTAAACCCATTTTCCAGAGATTGGCCATTTTATTTCAATCACTTTTATTCGAAGCTCGCTATATCGAACCTAATTTTGCTTCCCTTGACCGAAATTTCCACTCTCTCGAAATAGAGTAATTCTATTGCACTTCATCTTATTCACGGGAATCCAACAATATTGGTCAAACAATGTAGAACGATGTCAGTTGAACGTACTAAGTCATAATGCGTAATCGTCAAATGTTGCACAATGTTGCAGGATGAAAATGTTAAACAAAGTCAAACCCGATCCAATATCCTCCGATAGGAACGACTCGTATAAATAGCCAATGAGTTCCGTATATATCTGGAGCGAGAACTCGAGTCCAAATAAAATAGAAAATATATTTTCCTGGCAGCAAAATTCAAAAATAGAAATTTCCTGTGTACAAGTCAAAAGTTGGGTTATTTTACTTATTTATTGTCGGATAATATAACAAATTATTCTTATATCATGCACATACGATTATAAATAAAATATTTGCAGAAGTGTTCGGTAGCCAAGTGGTTAGCGCATTTGCCTCTCACCTTTGAGGCCGCAGGTTCAAGCCTCAGTGAGAACTTTCTCAATGCGACTCGAACCCAGTCCTCATGTGAAAAGAGTAAAAGTAAACGCTCTGTCGAAAGTCGTGGGTTTTCCCCAGGTACTCCGGTTTCCTCCCACAGGGAAAGTTGACAGGGTGGGTTATAGGTAAAAGGGCCCACAGTAAAAGGGCCCACAGTAATTGGCACATGCTGTTGTGGTGACCCTGCTCTAGTTGTCAAAAGGTAAATAAATATAAAACTTCATGATAGCTATATATTTCAGAGAGAGAGAGAGTATGGTGCTGCACAACGTGATAAACTTCAACCTCGGCACAAGACAATCTCGACTTGCAAATGGTCTTTGTAAACAATAAGTATAAATTATATGACATTCTAGTATACGAGTTGACAAAAATTCATGTAAGTTGTAAGAAAATTTCCTGCGAAGATATTTTGTTAAAAATTTCCTGGAAGCGGTGCTGCTGGACATTTTCCAACACTGCGTTTGAACAAGCATTCAATTTTGAAATTCATGCAATCTTTACACTTTCACCTTACCTTGGAAACAACATCACATTTAACACTGGCATTATCAAACAAAGTGCCAAACTTTTTTGTCCTTTCCTTTCTCTGCCTCAGTGTTCCTTCTATCAAACAATTATGCATAAATTGTGTTACATCAATTTGCAACGTTATCGTATTCATATGGCTCGTCAGTTCAGTCGGAGTGACGGTCATGCGAGATTTATCTTCACTTGACTCTCCCATTGTCTTCTGCAGCGAGCTTGTCACCATGGCCAGTGTACCCTTCTTTGACAGTTGATGTTTACGCACTGCTTCGAGATGTGCGAGTGCATCCTGCAGATAGTGCAGTCTTGAATAGAGGTCAGTGTAGCTAGTAGCTGGGTGATGTGGTAAGCCTTGGTAGAACTTGGTACACGTCATGGCCGCACGGAAGTAATCCTACACAAGATATGAAGCAATATCAGAAATTGCGAGCTAAGATGAGCAAAACATCCTCTTCATTTGCATGTATGATCGGATTTATCAAGAACATAATTATTAATGCTTTTAGCTACATCGCAAATCATACCTATGATTAGTTTCAATTTGTTTTAACATGTTTATTAATTAAAGATAATGGCACTTTATCATTTCTTAATTATTTTGTGCATGAACATTTTCATGGTCTTGTTGCCCTTAAATCTGTGTTTTAGAGGAACTACTAGAGAGTTTGAGCAAGACAACGAAGTCGGACGACGACGACGTGGTTGACAATTTTTGCCTGTCTTGCACATTACCTTGCACATTCTGAGTTTAGGGTCAGGAGTGAAGACAGATTAGAGATTTATGTCTAGCTGTTTGTGAATGCTGACCCAAATCCTTACCCCGATCAGGATAAAACAGCGAGACATGAATCCATATCCCGTCTTCTGCCTTCGTTTACAACGAATACTTTGGCAAATTACGTTGTGAAACTCGTTCTGCACGAAGGCAGAAGGACAAAGAAGGGATATAGTTTCATGTCTCGCTGTTTTTTCTGGATCAGGGCAAGATTTATGGTCAGTATTCATAAACAGCGACACATGGGAAGATACGTTATGCAACCACCAGTGACGTCCAACTCAGTATGCGCAAGATAATGTACATACGGCAAAAATTGTCAAGTATGCCTTCGTCTTCGTACTTCGTTGTCTGCTCAAACTCTCTACTGTAACATTATATGACGTTCCATGCGCTAACATTATATGATGCAGAGACGGATTTTCATATTTTCGTTCGGGGGGGAGGTGGATAAATATCTGGGGGTGCTGCTGCTTGCTTTCGCCGGGGCGTGGTGGCAACGCCCGGAAAGGCCAAGGAAAAAGTTTAACAAAATTTGTTTTCTAGGCCGTGCCTGATATGATGTTCGTGCGGCTCTATCAGTTTGCAAGTTTTGCAATTTGTCAAGTAGATACTTGGAACCATGCCCCCTGATAATTGCGCATGTGGGCAATTTCAGGTAAATCCAGGTAGATTTGCAGAAGAAATTCAGGTAAATGAACACAAATTCAGGTAATTTCTAGGCCAAGAGAAAGTTAATTTACAAAAATAAGTGTGAATTTGGAAAAGAATGAGGTTAATTTACAAAAATTTTAGAAAATTTCTGGATTTTAGAAAAATTTTTTGGATAAATGGAGAAAATTGATGATGTCCGGAAAAAATTTTTTACGTCACGAAAAATTTTGGTATGTCCGGAAAACATTTTTGACCAAAAAATTGGTACACTGACCGAAAAGGGGGGGGGGGGTCGCATAAAAAAAATTTCAGGTAAAAAAATATTTTTTTCAGGTAAATTTCGAACTTTTGATACTTTCAGGTAGATTTAACCAAACACCCCCCTGAAGCGAGTCCCTCGGGACGGCCCTGCTTGGAACAGTTATCCCAAACCGAACTTACAATAATTAAAGTGTGATGAAACAATGGCATTATATATTCTTTAATAGCGTTGATTTAGGAACACACAGTATTGTTCGTTGTCGTTTATTAAGTGTAACTTTGTTTGCAAGTAGCCATCGATGTAGGTTACATTTTCTAAGTCAGCACTTAACGCGCAAGACTCTCCCCTTAACGAGTACAATCGTCTGGCGTTAGGCAGAGTAAAATAAGAGAGAACAACGCATTAGGGCGTTTTGTTGCCTAATGCATGGGTTAACAAGATAACAGATTGTTTGGTTAATTTATTGATGTGCAAGGCTATCATTTATGGAGTAAAATTGTTTGGCTTTAGGAAGAGTAAAATTAATTAACAAAGCAAGGCGCATTAGGGCATTTCTGCTTAATGGGTCAAATAGCGTACACATTGGTTTAATTAGGTAATACTATGCATGTAAAATCGTAAAAATCCAATGTGATATCCAACACTGCCCGGGGAAGCGGGAAAGAAAACATGAAGTCACGTGTACATGAATAGTGATCTTTTACTTTTACTTCTCGCACAGATCTGGTATTTAAGTGTCCACAAAACTTGTGTTACGATTGTAGAATTATACACCCTAGTCCAATACATTACCTTCATCAGTAGCTGTACTTGATACAGAACATTGAGGAAGTTAGAACGACTAAGATGTCCACATGCACCATTCAGATAAGGCGTCCATACTTCCAATGTCGGGTCAAACATTTTCAACAGATCACGCAAATGTTCAAACTGACCATGACGTATCGCGGGCATCAACAGGTGTTCGGTAAATATATCGGGAAGGCATCTCTAATTCAAAAATAAAATAAAAATAATTTGCAGTTTTTACTTTTTATATCACGGCAACCAGGAATTAGAAAAGTTTTCGCTCGCTATGATGGTTTGAACGCTGGCCGGGTACAATACCTAGATACTCTGCATGCTATGTCGCGCCTGAGTAAGAGTGCATGGGTCAGTCAAAGGGCAAATTTGACAAACGTTAATAAGAGAACACCGAAAAAGGTTTCAACTTTTCGCAAAAGGTTAAGACAAGGATTTATGGTCGAAAAGAGTTCTTGGATTCACTTAGAAATAACCGTTGTCCCATGCAGCTTGAAATGCAGCTGTTGTATACAAGACGTGATAATCTGTGATTTGCAGTTGTAAACATAGAGAGAGCAATATCTAATACTTTTAGGAGATTTTAATTAATAATTTCTTTCCTACAATATTATGATTATTGTACTTGCACGCCGTCATCGATGCATTTGCATTTGCGTTCCAGGGTGGCAGGGCAGGAAAAATAATTTTCTTCCTGGTATAGCACAACCTGGAGACAAAAATTTTCCTGCAAACCGACTGAGTATTTCTGTGCTAAATCTGCATGTGCATGAGCATATATAGTGTTCTAGCTGACCATGGTTTTAAATTCAAGAAATAATGTCTGTCAACCATATGTTGTTGTGCCCATAGTGGGACATGAGTGTTAAGGTTTCTTTCAAATTTTCAATAGCAAATCTGCATTCAAACGAATTTCCTGCAGCTGTTTAACATTTCCTGCAAGCAGTTCTCGCGTGTTTGCCTATTTTTTCCACCCTTGTTGCGTCCGTCGATAGTTTATCGATTTTGTATAGTACAGTGTAAAATTTAAGGCTGTTTCTTGTCACATTCCCGTACTAGATTAAGCCTTGCTTAAAGTTCGCTATTATCAAATGGGGGAGATCAACTGAAAACATTGCCTACTACTGAGAAAACTATGATGTTAATTCTTTTCACTATCGTGATGTTTACGTTAGTTTGCAATATAAAATGCATATATACCTTTTCTAATATGAACCTGCAAGCCAGTTTCAAATGATTGTGATTGACATAAAACGTAACAACACCAGAATACGAGCCATATGTGTTCAAGTAGAAAATGCATTCCTCAAAACGTTTGGGATCCATAATGCGAGTTCCACTTGAATTCTACAAACATAAGACGAGTACATGCAATATACTCAGAAACAGCACAACTTCGCACGCGCGCTGTTTTGTCACATTTTACTTAATCTACATGCATTTATAAAGCATTTTATTTTCGAACACTTCCCAGTATTATTTACTATAAGCAAGTCCCAGTATTATTTCCTTGTTAAATCTGTAGTATGGGAAAGTAATTAGCCAAAGTTTTTAAATTCTAATTTAATTTTCGACTATGTTCAACTAAAATATATGACTCATGCATTTGTCTGTTCTTAGCCTACACTAATATAGCTATTTCACTGTAGCTAATACATAGGTATGCTTATAAAAAGTATATTCGTTCGAATTTTCCAAAGCAAAAGAAAGCTTTTGCTATCATGAAAAAGGTCAGTGCTTACCTTTGCGTGTTCACGTAAGCTTGCTAAACTTGCGGCAAGATCACCCTAAAAATAACACAAGCATTACGACAAAATAAACAGTATGGATATATAGATTGGCTTAAATTTGCTAACCTCCTCAAATTAAGTTTACATACATGCGTATACATAACAGGGTATAAAATTCGTCATGGGGTACATTCTTTCCATTTTCAATTTCGTTACTCCAAATATCCCACCTTCCGTCGCTCTATTATTATTGCACCCAACATGAAATACTCACTACCTCCTCCGCAGGCCATACAGCCCGTAATGAGTATGCCCGTTCGCAGGTTGAAATTTGAGACGAAGGCTTGCGTAGGAGGTAGAAATACTCAGCAATTCTAATGGAAAGGAGCGAGGGAGAAATCATTTTCGTACCCATGCTTTTCGCAATTTGTTCGAAGAACATACTATCGATATGGATATATATCTTATCAATTAAAGCCCAGTTAAACGAGATTGTTACATCTGGGGGGATTTCAAGCTCCACATTAACAAAATAAAGGTTTGATAATTAATTTAATTTCTTCATTTCAAAATTCTAGTCTTTATTTCAGCATTATTTTATAGCCAGTTTACATGCACGAAACACACTTTTTACGTTTGTTTGATTGAGAAACGTACGTATAGCTAGCACATAACGTTATTACAACGTTGGTAAAAGGTTGTTGCAAAGTTAGATCTAACCTAACTTTCACACGACGTTCACACAACCTTACTTTTCTATCCGGAATAAGAGCACGTGGTGTAAACGTTGGTTTAACGTTGAAATTTAACGTTCCAGGATGTCATGCGACACCTTCTTAGCAATGTTAGATTTCAACGTTGTAGCAACGTTAATGTGTAACGTTTGGACGTGACATCAAAACAACGTCGTAGACAACGTCGTCCCGACGTTAAGATTTGATATTTTCGCAACGTTCCAGGATGTCATACGATATCTTCATGGCAATGTTAGATTTTAACGTTGTAGCAACGTTAATGTGTAACGTTTGGATATGACATCAAAACAACGTCGTAAACAACGTCGTCTTGACGTTAAGATTTGATATTTTCGCAACGTTCTAAAAAAATTAAACATATGTCTTCTATTATTGAACCTGACAGTTAAACTATATAGGTATAAAACCGCATCAGGCCATATGACTTCGTATGCCTATTCAGCTGCAGGAATCGCGAGGAACGTCGCCTTGGTTAGTTCTTACTGGAAATTTTGTCCTGAAAACGTTTTATCCAACTGATTTTAAGCCAGACAGTAGGCCTTTGTATTTGGCAGCTTATCAACAACTCACCAAATATGGTAATTCTGACCATATATACGTAAAGTGTTTGCGCCGCGGGCAAATTGAAAAGATTACACCATTGTTCTTGGCTTGCGACGCAACTGAAATGTATGCTGAGTCTGTAATCTCATCGAAGTTGCTGTATATTTCAGAAGAACTCGCTCGTTCGTTTTGTTTTCGATGTAAGTATATATATTGTATCTGTAACATTTGAAAATTCCATGTGTCTATCTCATGTAGGGAAAAAAGGCGAACAAAATATATTTATTTTGATATGTGTCTGCATGTTTGTTTGACGCCATATTAATTTACATTTTACAGGGCCTCTCTTGAATCGAAGATATATTTCAGAAGTACTCGTTCATTTGTCAATGAAATCCAAGAATGACTAATTAGTATACTGTATTAAATATTGAACTGTCTGTGCCAGTGTAGATGGGGATGCAACTATCTCAAACTACATATAACGAGAACTAGAAGAATTACGACGTTTCGAGCGAAGGCCCTTCGTAGCAACGTATTTACTCTGGAGGGTCTTCACTCGAAACGTCGAAATTTTCCTTACATTGTTCAGGTAATTCTGTAATTTAAACTACAGACTGTTATTCAAGCACAGTATTACGTACGTCTATTACTAAAATCACGCTAAAATGCGGCCTAGAAAAAGTTCCGTCATACAAGATTGTTCAGGTAGTTGCATCCCTACCAACGAAAGCTTGTTCATATACTATACTGAATTAAATATTATTGTCAATATTCATCCAAACTATAAATTGGATCAGTATTTTTAGCCTATATTATCCTTAAATAAAATGATTAAATAAAATGATTAAATCAAAGACTTTAGTTAATTGTTCTAACGTTGATCCTAACGTTGTCACAACGTTCCTGCGAGTTCACAAAGTGACGTTACTACAACGTTAATTTTCAACGTTTTCTGGACGTTAATCAAACGTTGCAAGAACGTTGAACCAACGTCGTGTTCTAACGTTAATCAAACGTTGTAAGAACGTTGAACCAACGTCGTGTTCTAACGTTAATCCTGACGTTGTCACCACGTTCCTGCGAGTTCACAAAATAACGTTACTACAACTTATAATACCAACGTTATCTCCACGTTCGGCGAACGTTCGTACAACGTAATTGTGCTAGCTGACGTTTTAAAATTTCAAAATTTTAAAATGCAGTCACCAAGTGGCATCACACTTAAGCCTGTTTTCCACTAGGCGGAATTTTGCGCGCGGAGCGGAATTTTTCTTTGTCTTTTCTAATTAGTTCCACCCGAGAAATCACAAGACAAAGAAAAATTCCGCTCCGCGCGCAAAATTCCGCCTAGTGGAAAACAGGCTTTACTCACTGCTAGAAATGTGTGCAGTCAACTACAGCTAATGAGATTTGTTCCGCTTGACTGTTTGTATTTCAAAAGAAAGCGATCGCAAAAAATCGTGCGCAACATTTTGCACATTTTGTCTTGTGATTTATCGGGTGGAACTAATAAGAAAAGACAAAGAGAATTTCCGCTCCGCACGGAAAATTCCGGCCTAGTGGAAAACGACCTTAAAACATATACAACATCAAAAATTCTCCACTTAACGTGAATTTGTTACGAAGGCCTGCATATATTATATACAATTGACGTCTGCTCCCGAGGGAAATAGTTGTGCTTTCCCGAGTCTCAGGCAGCGTTTACACTGTACCGTTTTCGTAGCGTTCTCGTATTGTTCGAGAGAACTAGACTATTGTCTTGCGTTCCCTTGAGGATTAAGAACAATACGAGACGGTCGTGGGAAACATTGAGATTATAGCTAGGGGAAACAAAACTATAACTAATAGTTTTGTTTGTGGAAACACCACGTAAATTTAAATAAATTTACGTGGTGTTTCCACAAACAAAACTATTATATTTTATCACCATACAAACATACAAAGAACTTAAAACTATAACTATTTCCCGAGAAAACCGACATTATAAGTGCATGTTTGTTATATAGCGACGAAATCAACAACATTCATATAACAATTGTATTTCATGACAAAAACTCTATAGTGTGAACAAGTTTAAAATTAAAACAACCTACTTAAACCTACCTCCTCCACAGGTCTTTCAAAAAAATAAAATTGGTGGGAAACGAACGGAAAGGCCTGCGGACTAATTTTCCAAAATGGCGGGAGCAACAAACCAAATTATATATATTTAATATATCATTTTACCAGAACAATATTATTATTATTATTATTAAAGTCTTTTTAAAGACTAGTCTATTTTTAAAGTCTAGTCTATTCTTTTTAAAGAAGTAGTTAAAACTACTTCTGATATAGACTGCTTTTCGTATCCACAATATACATAAAAACAGTGAACTCTGAACAAACAAGCATACAATGATTTATGAAGAGAAGCAGATAAATATCAGTTTATAATTTGCATATTACCAGTGATATTACATGTCAGGCATGCGGCCGTTTATCCACGAAATGTATTCCATTTATATTTGTCTTTTATACAGTGTAACTATTTAAATGCGTGTGTATGTAGTCAAAACATCCCATTTGGCCAAATGATAGATTCACAACGTCTATTATCACTGTCGCTTGTGCTTGTAAAACCCTCCATTATTTGAATCTCCTCGTCGCTTTTATCAGCCATAACTGCCAAGATGTATTTAGAACATACTCGCAAAACGGGATTGCTAAAGATTGGCAGACGATGTGCCATATTTTTGAAGAAATTTGATCCTACCGAGTAATCGACACTATAAGCCAAGTGATCGACATGTTATTCAGCAGGCCTTACAGCTACGCAAGCCTTCGTCTCAAATTTCAAATTTCAACCTGCGAACGGGCATACTCATTACGGGCTGTATGGCCTGCGGAGGAGGTAGTACTTAAACGGTTTTAGGAGCATATTGTGTATTGTTCTTCTCTGTTAAGGCCTGATTCCACGGGCGTTTTCATGAGGTTATGCAATAACAAAGGTTAACAGCTAGGGAACCAAGCCTCGTTACGTCGGCACATCATGTGACCAAAAGGGGGCCGGGCGAGTATGTAATAAGAGGTTGGCCGCGCATTGGTGGTATTAGTAACCATTGTGCGTTGGAAGCGTAGTAAACGTATTAGGAACAAAGATTTAAAATTGGCTCGTCCTGTTACCTACATATCACCAGAGTTCGTGATCGGGCGTCAGAGTTCAGACGGCAGTATCGCAGGTTTCTAACCGTACTGGCAGGGCACCAACGGAAGGAGCGTCGCAACTCGAGATGATGGGAAACCCACCGCAAGTTTCGCTCGTAAAAAAAACAAACAACAAACCCGGTCAGGTAGGCGATAGTTCTCTTCGCCAGAGTACAGGTATGTTTGTTGTTCATTTGTTGATGGTATTAATGTTGCGGCGGAATCCGAGACTATTCCCACAGTTAGCAGCATGCTCGGCGGTGTAAGCTAAAATATAAATAAAGAACGGAGCTGCCCCTGTTTACCTTTGAGGGCACAACGGTGGTGCAGAAACTTAATGCGCATAAAATAAAGAACGCGGTTATAGAATGGGTAGTATGTTTTATAATAGCTATACGGCGGTGCTCACAACCCATATTCACGTCAAGGTCGCGCGATTTGTGGGTTTACATGGCGCCGATCATTCGGACAACTAAACGTTTCAGAGGCAAAGCACAACCGCGGATTCCGCTGCTAATAATTTACGCGCTTGGGGTGTTATGCTTTATATAACTACCACACGGCAGTGGTAAATCATCCGAGTTAGCTAGAAACGTGCCTAGCCCGACCGCACAACGGAGCTTTCGTGAAGAAGCTCAAGCGCATTCAGAGTAAAGTTAGCGATCAATCGCAACGTAATCAAACGTTGCACCTGGTCTAGTTCTGTTAAATGTCTGTCAACACGAACACCTAAACACAGTTGTATTAATATACAATTTTCCTATTAAAGTTCAGGATTTGCAACTTGCCGCACTTCCGGACTGTTCTAGGTCGAATTTATTGTTAGTTGTCTTCGCACGGGTTTCACAGGGATATTTTTACATCTTCGGTTAGCTGCCATCAACTGTTCGTCGGCCTTAGCTCATCCTAATGTCAATGTCAAATATCTATCAGACGAAATTCGAGCTCGAACTGTGGCAGGTCCATTTGATACGCCACCTTTTCCTAATTACATTGACCTGAAGGTCAAGTGTCTTAAAGGGGTAGTGTCACGGTTCTACTGCGCATCCAAAATATGCGCGAACTTGAAAAACTGTCTGCCAACAATTAATCAAGTTAGGAGTGAAATACGATATACTATTTATAATCCCTTCGTTATGCAGGACATCCTTGGTTTATTTTAAAAATTGAAAGCTGCTGCATCTTTTCCAATCATGTAGCATTAATTTTAAACCTTTCTTTGCGCCGTTTATTTTAGTCAATCAGCGCCGTGACACTGCCCCTTTAAATCGCTAAATATCTGTTTTCCTGGTTTTTCTTTTTTTTGTCGTCGTCGAGAAGTCGATTTTGCGTTGGCGTATCGCAGGCTCAGGTTCCAGTGTTACAGTTATTCCAGGTTACTATACAGAGCAGTTTTCAAGATGGCGGCCATTCAAGGAGTGACCAATGGTATCAGTCTTCAACAACTTATTTCGTTGTCAACGAATTTTAGCGCGTTTTTCTGTGGGTTAGTCACCGTGTCACGTTTTATATTCTTGTCTATTGCACCACAGTGCGTATGTCGTCATTTTTCGGGTCGGTGTGAGCGCCTGAGCGGGCGTCTTGTTTACATGAGAGTTGATTTGGAGTGATTCCAAAGAAAAACAAACCGCGCGGCGTTTGATTTGAGACATATCGTTTCCAGCTGACCACAGCGTGAACGATGGGATTGAAAAACGAATCTCCAGTAGTTTATAGCACTGTACAAGATGCCATCCGAGTAATAGTAAAGATTGGTTTAATAATAGGGGGCATTAATGGGCAAATGGACACCCAAGGATGTACGGTATTATCCACATTTATCGAGGTAATCGATACTTGTTAGGTATGAAATGGCGGGGACAATATCTTGTCGATCTTGCTTTTATTCGAGCACTTCTATCATGAGCCCCTGGCTCGAGTGATTGGGCAACCACACTCTGTGTCATTCGACATTAAATAAATTATTCTATTCTATTCTATTCTATTCCCTTTGGTCTACGAAACGCCCCGGGAATCTTCAACTCGTTGGGGGATGCTGTCTAGTGGATTTTACAGCACAACTGTCGTGTTGCCGATTTTTTGCATTACCTTGACGATCGATTTTTTCACACTTGGCCCAGCTGGTGCTATGGTTTGCTCGAAGTCTCAACGCCTTGCAGGTACATCACTCGACATCGGCAGTCCTTTAGCTCCGGACAAATGCGAAGGTCCAGAACGGCGAGCCCCTGTCGCGCAAGCAATTAGTTTCGTGGATACACGATTCAGCGGCTTGGTTATGCCTCGAGGGCAACTACTCAGGACATAGCTTCGAATCGGAGTGGCGACAACGGCTGCGTCGGCTGGTGTAGTTCCTGACTTAACTTGCACGAGTAATTTAAAGTGGGATTTGGGATGAATTGGAGTAAGCACAAATAATATTCGATATGAAACTAACAAACTCGTGTGACATGTTGTCTCTTGTGTTTGGGCTTACAAGGTACAAGACTAACAAGAGCTGAGTTACCATACAGTCTGGTATCACTCGTAGGTCGCTTTTTGCAAGGTGTTCTGTTATATACCATACGGGCTAGTATTGCTTGTGACCCACAATTGGTTACGTTTTATACCATACAGTCTGGTATCGCTTAGCCATACAGGTTGGTATCGCTTGGGAGTCGCAAGTCGCGATACGTTTCCCGTAATACATTCTGGTATCCCTAGCCCACAATTTGTTACGTTTTATACCATACTGTTTGTTAGCGCCTATGGGTTGCAATTCGCAATATGTTTCGTTATATACCACACAGTCTGGTATCGCTTTGGGCCCACAATTTGCTACGTTTTATACCATACAGGTTGGTTCCGCTTGTGGGTCGCAAATTCGCAATGCGTTCCGTTGTATACGATACAGTCTGGTATCGCTTGTGGCCCAAAATTTGTTACCTTATATACCATACAGTCTGATATCGCCTTATGTGTCGTAATTCTAACAGAATCTTTTTACAAAAGGATGCATGTGACACAAAATACCCAATCTCAGAAATAGCGAAAATCATTTAACTCGTCCAAAACCTAGAACAGAATATCTAAGAAGAAGCTTTAAGTACAGCGGCCTATGTTATGGAATGACCTTTCGTCTGCAGCTAAATCGGTGGATACTCTCGATTGCTTCAAAAAAGAGATAGGTGCAAGCTAGACGATGACTCTGTGCTATATGTGCTAATCTAACTTTTGTATATAGTTGTATATAATATTTTTAAATTGTAACTTTGTAACTTAATTATTTTCTTTGTATTGTTTGTGTGACGCCCCTCGTGGAAATCAGCACCATGTTGACGAGGCAAGCGTGTTTAAATAAAGTTTTTACCTACCTACCTTCGTTATATACCATACAGTCTGGTATCGCTTGTGGCCCACAATTATTTGTTACGTTTTATACCATACAGTCTGGTATCGCATATGGGTCGCAATTTGCAATACGTTTCATTATATGCCATACATTTTGGTATCGCTTGTGGCCCACAATTTGTTACGTATTATACCATACAGCCGGTCTGGTATCGCTTGTGGGTCGCAATTCGCAATACGTTTCGTTATATACCATACAATCTGGTATCGCTTGTGGCCCACAATTTGTTACGTTTTATACTATACAGTCTGGTATCGCATATGGGTCGCAGTTTGCAATACGTTTCGTTATATACCATACAGTCTGGTATCGCTTGTGGCCCACAATTTGTTACGTATTATACCATACAGTCTGGTATCGCCTGTGGGTCGCAATTCGCAATACGTTTCGTTATATACCATACAGTCTGGTATCGCTTGTGGCCCACAATTTGTTACGTTTTATACCATACAGTCTGGTATCGCATATGGGTCGCAGTTTGCAATACGTTTCGTTATATACCATACAGTCTGGTATCGCTTGTGGCCCACAATTTGCTTGGTTCCCTTGTGGGTCGCAAGTTTATAATACGTTCCGTTGAGTACCATACAGTCTGGTACCGCTTGTGGCTCACAATTTGCTTGGTCCGCTTGTGGGTCGCAAGTTTATAATACGTTCCGTTGAGTACCATACAGTCTGGTACCGCTTGTGGCTCACAATTTGCTTGGTCTGCTTGTGGGTCGCAAGTTTATAATACGTTCCGTTGAGTACCATACAGTCTGGTACCGCTTGTGGTTCACAATTTGCTTGGTTCGCTTGTGGGTCGCAAGTTTATAATACGTTCCGTTGAGTACCATACAGTCTGGTACCGCTTGTGGCCCACAATTTGCTTGGTTCGCTTGTAGGTCGCAAGTTTACAATACGTTCCGTTGAGTACCATACAGTCTGGTACCGCTTGTGGTTCACAATTTGCTTGGTTCGCTTGTGGGTCGCAAGTTTATAATACGTTCCGTTGAGTACCATACAGTCTGGTACCGCTTGTGGCTCACAATTTGCTTGGTCCGCTTGTGGGTCGCAAGTTTATAATACGTTTCGTTGAGTACCATACAGTCTGGTACCGCTTGTGGCCCACAATTTGCTTGGTCCGCTTGTGGGTCGCAAGTTTATAATACGTTCCGTTGAGTACCATACAGTCTGGTACCGCTTGTGGCTCACAATTTGCTTGGTCCGCTTGTGGGTCGCAAGTTTATAATACGTTCCGTTGAGTACCATACAGTCTGGTACCGCTTGTGGCCCACAATTTGCTTGGTTCGCTTGTGGGTCGCAAGTTTATAATACGTTCCGTTGAGTACCATACAGTCTGGTACCGCTTGTGGCCCACAATTTGCTTGGTTCGCTTGTGGGTCGCAAGTTTATAATACGTTCCGTTGAGTACCATACAGTCTGGTACCGCTTGTGGGTCACAATTTGCTTGGTTCGCTTGTGGGTCGCAAGTTTATAATACGTTCCGTTGAGTACCATACAGTCTGGTACCGCTTGTGGCCACAATTTTCTTGGTCCGCTTGTGGGTCACAAGTTTATAATACGTTCCGTGAGTACCATACAGTCTGGTACCGCTTGTGGCCCACAATTTGCTTGGTTCGCTTGTGGGTCGCAAGTTTATAATACGTTCCGTTGAGTACCATACAGTCTGGTACCGCTTGTGGCCCACAATTTGCTTGGTTCGCTTGTGGGTCGCAAGTTTATAATACGTTCCGTTGAGTACCATACAGCCTGGTACCGCTTGTGGCTCACAATTTGCTTGGTTCGCTTGTGGGTCGCAAGTTTATAATACGTTCCGTTGAGTACCATACAGTCTGGTACCGCTTGTGGCCTACAATTGCTT